AAATGGAACAAAGGAAGACGCTGATCCTAATTTATCTGCTCGTGAACTATGAACTCAATTTGCAAATCAAGCAACCCTGATTTGCAATGTAATGGAAAAGCTTGTTTGTCAGATTCAACTTGATCCAATACGGTAGGAATAAAGATGAGGCTAAGAGAAGCAAAGGAAAATAAAAATTCTTATACTAAATAATAGTTTAGCATGCTAACCATTTGTACAGAGGAAGATAATCTAGGAAAGAAATCGTGCTAGCAATTAAAGCTTGTGAGAAAAACAATACAAACAATTCGTTAGGATTATAAAATGCACTGCACACAGGCAAAGAGGTGCGCGTTGAAGTCTGTAAGCAACGAATTCACATACAAACATTAAAAAAGAGGAATTGATTTTATTATGCGGCTTATTGCAGGCGTTGAGGTACCAGGGGGCTAGCATTCTTCCGTAGGATATAGGCATGACACGCCGTTATGTACATTCTCTCCTGCACAAACAGGAGACAATAATGAGATCACGTTAATCGGCCGAGGTAACAGCTTCAAGAGAGATGAGCATCTACACGAGATAGATAAGTTGAAATATTTTGAAGAGTAAGGCTGAAGTATGTGTTCTGGATACACGATGAGGATGCGATAGCTTGTAAACTAGTATCGAGAAATAATGGGAAGAAGCTCTAGAGAAGAGAAGAAAGGCATGAATAAGTTGCCTCAGTGGATGAAAAGGCGATTTTGGTGTGTACTAAATTGAATCATATGTGTATATGAAAATATCAAATGTGAATGTTAAAACAGAAGTGTATAATGACACCTCTCATCTATACGCCCGTCTCTCCTCCTTCGTATCATCATCGTCCTCTTACATCTTCGCCTCCTCCAACTCCTAGCACTCCACCCCCTAATTTTCATCGCAAATTCCCCTGCTCTTCTAATGAGCCTATCAAATATTTCTACACATCTGTCCCCTGATGAACACCGTCCTGAGATCTCAGAAGCAAAAGAACCCAGCCACCCAGGCACAAACTGGCTAATGAAGTTTGTGTAGCTGATCTTCAATGGCAATTCGGTAACTACTTCGCCTGCTGGACGCAACGGACGAACTAGTTGAGAAAAACATGGAAAAAAGGGGAAAGTGGTGGATGGAGCCTGAGGCTTGGTAACAGAGATTACATAGAACGATATAGGTGGAGGCAATGATGATAGCAACGGGATGTTGCCAAAAGACAGCCATCGGGGCCAGCGACAGTGAATTTGGCGATGTCGATACCGAGAGGATGAAAGCTTAGAAGCCGTCCAAACATCAGTGGACACAATGCTGGTTAGTATAATGATGAAACAACTAATCCAAAGAGGAGGGTAGTACCCAATGGAAAGTCGCCATAATTTGTGGCGACTTGAGGCAGCTGAGTTAGTCGGGCCGATAAGGTCCAACTGATGAGATGTCGGGTTGAGAATGAAGACTTCAGGCGAAGATGTAGGCCGCATTCCAGACTCGATTATTTCAAGTTTTGTTGCTGCTTCAGGCCTGGAGGCGGGGAAAGGTATGTGCGAGGCCAATGGAGCCGAGTTACTTAAACTATGATTAGTCGAGAGAGACATAGAAGTAAGAACTGTACTTGCTGATCGCATGCACCGGAACATTAATGAATTGCAGGCTGCGTTATTGGCACATCCACTAATGCCTATTTCAGTGTCATTATTGTTATCATCACAACTATTGATGCTGCTGGAGCTTGAGCTAGTGGCTCTTGTAGAAAGTGAATCTCCTCGGACGACATTCTTAGTCATCTTCTGAAAGCTTTTAGCTAAAGGTGAGAGTGAAGATTCGTCAAGGTTGATCGAGGTGGTATGTGAGTTCGGTGAAACAATCGGATGAAAGTCGAAGTCCGAGTAACAGCAGGTTTGTTCACAGGGATTGAGAACAGAAGCCGAATAACGAGAACTGTGGTGGTAATGACTTTCTGGAGAAAAGATTTTAAAAAAGCAGAAAAGTTTAAAATGCGCTAGAAAATGTTTAGCTAATGTTTCTTCATCAAAAACAAGAAACAGAACAGGCGAGGCAAGTTATGTACGCAGAAAATTGGTTTTCTAAGAAGTCCTTAATAGAATGACGTTGGATCACCTCTCATATCGTTAGAAAGAGGCCAGCGGGAGGGATTCGTAAATTGGCCTTACCGGACGACGAAGAAGAATTGCCTCGAAGCTGTGACTGTAGATTTATGCGAATAGGTTCTCGGTGCACCGCCATGCGACCTCGATAAATCCATGCTGGACTTTCGTCTGTCATATGACGGGTGTCAGAACAGCACAACATGCTTTACGATAATTCATTCAAACATGTGACCATTTATATCTTTGTGTTTTGTTGAATTGTCGGAAAGCATAGTGTTGTGCTTTGAAGATGACTATAACATGAATGATTACGGCTCAGCCAAGATTAATAGAGATCATAGAGCAGTGTACCGAGGACCTATTCGCACGAATCTACAGTCACAACTCCGAGGCAATCTCTCTTTAGCTTCCGGTGATGCGAACTTACGAATCCCTAGCACTAGTCACTTTGAACGAAATGAAAGGTACTCCAAAGCAAGTTATGTTATCTAAATAAACTGCTAGATATATTGACTTAACATAACCCAGTTACATTGGGTTCACCAGCTATATTTTTAAGAACATTTATACTTGTGTACTGCATAATCTCATATTTTTCGGGTTCATTAAAATTAGGATGAGCAGTAATATCGTATTTGCCATATGCTGAACTTTCGCCTGTCATGTGACAGACGTCGTCAGAATGAGAAACCATACTTTACGAAAAAGCGCACCAATATACTAAACATAAATACATAAATAAACCAGTGTACGATCCTCTAATGCTGGCGCATGCTTATGCATGTAGTATTTAGTACTGTGTATGAAATGTTCAAGTCATGTGAGGTAGGATGGCCTTAGTCAGAGAGCGACCAAAGTTAAAGACAAAAATAAATTCCAGCTTACCATCACATAGAAATGCTGGCTCTCCACCGTTCTCGGTGGTTTCAGACGGGTTTATATATGGACACAGGGTCTCGACACGCGTGCACCAGCTGGAACAGGCTGGCACTCGGACAAGCTGAAGATTGTAGGCTAAGGGCGAATCAATGGGATCGACTGTAACCCCTGCAGATGTCCGCTTGGTAGAGCGCGCGATAATACGTCTATGACGTGCAAGTTGACGCTGTGGCAACCAATTACATTTTGGCGACTTGATTCTGCGTTGCACGGAGTGATCATGTTGTCTTTGATGTTGGTGCCACCGCCACCACAACCAGCGAGAATGAGAACTTAATAGTTGATGTTTCAGCCATAGCCTGTAGCCAGTCAAATTGCTAATAGGTAATAAATGAGTAGGGATCGAATGATTGGGGCTTCCGAGCGAGGCTTGAAATGTAGACATCGACAGGTCCTGCCGAGCAAAGTTTGGATTGGAGAAAGTATGCTTCTTATGAGCCCGGTTATTTAGGCGCTTCCGGGCCAGAGCTGATCCAGCATACTGGTAATGTGCTTTTGTCAAGATGTCTGAATGTAACTGTTTTAGTCCGTACTTCTTGTGAATAAGAAGGCGATCAGCAGCATTGCCTACAGGCCCTGCAACTTCGGTGCCATTTTTATGCTCACTAGCAAAATTGGCAGTAGAATCATTTGAATACTTGTCATAATAGCCATCACCTGCGCAGTCGTCATCCTCGTTTACCTTTGAAGGAACAGTGGGACGACCAAGTGTTTGTTGATGTACTAAAACATCTCGGGCAGGGTCTGTGGGGCTAGATAATGTCTCTAAATCCAGTTGCTTTCGCGAAGGAGCAGAAATAAGAAAGTCCGATAATAGTAATGAACGTTCTGCTGTTGTTGTCTTTGCTTCCAATACCGGTAGCGAAGCCGAAGATGGAGGTATTGTCGACACACTCGGTCTGCATAGAGATTTTGTTTGATCAGACAGATTCGAAGACGATAAATTGCTCGTTACGACTCTGGGTAGATGGGACGGAGGATGCTTACCAAAAAGAACGGAAGTTAGAAGCTGGGTCCAGGTTGAAAGATAACTCAATGAAGTAGGAGAACCCGGATCTAAAGTGGAACTGAAAGCTGGAAGTGTGGCCTGTGTACAAAAACGAAGTAAACATGAGGAAGAGCGATGGAACCAAATTATGGTATAGCATTACAGGCACGACTAATAAAAATTTGAAAATTGTATAATTCCTAAAGACGACTAGCAGTGGATGTATTAGCTTAGGTATCTAAACTTAATTATGAGAGGAATAGAAACAGAATGGATGTTTTTGAAAAGCGTAAATACCAGAGAGCCCACCTGAATGCACAGTTCTTCTTCGTGCGAATCTCTAGATGGCGGTGATCTTCGCAACCTTTTTATACTAGAACTAGCAGGAGTGCTAGCACTGTTGACATTATCTTTGTCATTAAAAAGCGGCAAGGAAACTGGCAGACGATTACCGACTCCACTGGTGACCATTTTTTGTTTTTCAGGAGCTAGTCGACTGGTGATAAATCCGGACGCACTTTTTGGTGAACCTGGTGGTAAGATAGACCGGCTTGCATCAAAAAGGACTAAATCGTCCACAATGATTGGATAAAAGACGGCAAAGTGAACAGTGCATAGCCAGTCCCAGTAGGCGATCTGTTCATGGGTGAAGAAAAAGAATAAGCATGATTTTATGAGATCCTGTAAGAAAATAAAATTCCTAGTAACAGGAATAACACAATAGGAAGCAGACCTCTACATGCAGCCCAACACATTAACAATCATGGATAAACGAAGGTATGAAGACCAAGATGGTGTGCCCTTTTGTGTGATGGCAATCTCCTTTCGTTCTATAGAAGTTGTTTTACCTTGTTTTCGTAACTTGGTCATATTGGTAGCAAGACCTAGAGGAACACACCGAGTCCGGAGTCCATTGTATGCATGATAATTTACAGTCGGGCCGTGGACGTGGTACATTCCCAAACGTTTCGCCGGCATCGTCAGTGAGTCTTTCCAGTCTTAGCATCACACTATAACTAGTCAAAGAGACAAGTGACGCCGATCCTTTGACCAATTGTCTGCTAAACAATTGTGGTATCTCACCTTCCCCCTTGAGCTGATCACCAATCCTATATCCTTGTATCACGCCTTTGCTATCACCATTTTACTTGCTTATTTAAATGTGGTATGATGTGCCCTTCTGAGCGGATTTAATAAAAACTCACCCCCCTTCACTCTTGTACTAGGAATGCTGATCAGTCTGCCCTATTATTACGTAGTCCTCCTTCCCTAGGTTTTATCAGTCATCCTCTTGCCCCTTAGGATCTCCCTGGTTCAAGTATTTCACTCGACCCCTGCCACTCTATCTGTGCCAACCCATAAATGTTGTGGTCCAAAATTGAATATACTCAAAGCAAGCAGTACCACAACATTTGTGAGTTGGCACACAAGAGACTAGGGCAATGCAAGTCATAGACTTGGTATTAGGGATAGAAACAAGATAAACGCGGCGGAGACATAAGCTTGTTGGTTGACAGTAGGTCTGTTTTACCATAGACGTAGTGCATGAAGCAAAAGCTTGACCATGAGAATTACTCAGGGGCTTTAGCCTCAAGTTAGCCCTTCAGAGGCAGGGTGTGGGAAATAACGCCTCGAGTAGCACGGTGGGGTGGAAAGGGATTAGCGAAAACTTCACATATTGCCTAAACAAACTCGGAGAAGATCAGGCAACAGTAAGATCAGCAAAAAGAAGACGACTGGATCAAGGTAATATCCTTAATTTTAGGAAAAGAGATCGCAGGGGGATGAGAAAGCAACAATCAGAAGCAGATTAGACATGGTCCATGTAGAAAAGGCAGGACCATGAGACTTACTCAGAGGTTTTAGCCTCGAATTAATCACTCAGACGCAGGGGGAGGGCGAATAATGCCTCGAGCAACACAGATAGGGTAGCAAGGGTCGAGTGAAATATGTGAATCAGGGAGAGAGTAGACGGATCTTACAGGGCAAGAGGGAGACTTTGATAGGACTCAGGGAAGGACTACGTAACAATATGACAGACTCTGGTCAGCATTCACAGCACAAAGGTGAAGGAGGTGAGAACGCTAGTGTTGAGTGCGAAGGGTTTTCATGAATACCGCTCGAAGAAGCATACAAAATAAGCACGGTAAAATTGAGACAGGGAAGGTGTGATAGGATGATATAGGAAATGTGAATAGCCAGGAGCAGAAAGGGAGATACCACAACTGTTTAGTACACGTTTGGTCAAAGGATCGGCTTCACTTGTCTCTTTGACGAGTTGTTGAATGGTGCTAAGAATGGCGAGACTTACTGACGATGCTGGCAAACGTATGGGAATGTACCATGTCCACGGTCCTACTCTGGAAATGATGATGCATACAATGGACTCCAGACAAGGTGTGTTCCTCTAAGTCTTCTTAACAATATGACCGAGTTGCAAAAACAAGGTCAAACAAATTCTATACAACGAAAAGAGACTGCGACCACACAAAAGGCCACACCATCTTGGTCTTCATACCTCTGAAAATAAACAACCTCACGAAAAACTCACATGGAAGGCTTTTAAAGTAATAGAGGTATCAAATGTGGCTGTTGAAGATAAGCCAATTAGGGAAATTTATGTAAGGAAATTATTTAATAGTTTTTATATAAGAACCAAACAATTATGAACTTAATGGAAAGTATGAAGACCAAGAGTATGTGGCTTATAGTATGGTCGCGGCCTCCTTTCGTTGTATAGAAGTCATTTGACCTCGTTTCCACAACTTGGTCGTATTGTCAGGGGGATCTAGAGGAATGCACCTTGTCCGGAGTTTATAGTATGCATTATAATATTAAGAGTCGAGCCGTGGACTTAGTACATTCCCAGACGTTTCGCCGGCACCGTCAGTGAGCCTTGCCACTGTTAGCACCTCACTACAACTCGTCAGAGACAAATCGATCCTTTGACCAATTCTCTGATTAATTCATTTATATTCACTATCACAATTTCTTAATTACATATTTAAATCTAGTTCAGCTGTGCCCTTTCGAACAACCTATTCACACTCCCTGCTGATTCCCTTGTCTTAGTAACAAGTACAGCAGAAATATAAGGATCGTAAAGAGTAAATGCCATTTTGGATACTATGAAAATAAGATCAGGAATAGGTAAGACGACCGAAAATTGATATACCTTCCCTCTTTTTAAATTAGTCAAAAATTGTGATCGTTAATAATAAAATTGAATATCTAGGTGAAAACGAAGAGACGACACTTCACCAGTCTGCTAACGCAATAAGAGAAGGTTGACAAACTAGATTGCTAGTGGCAACTGTGAGCAAAGTAGGTTGAAGAAACAGAGAAAAAAATCAGCCTAAGTTACAAGAAACATCAAAGACTCTGCAAAAACATGGATATTGAAAGATTCTAAAAAGCAGAACACATTGCACGGACGTGAAACGAAATCGACAGAAAGGCTAGACGCATATGATGAAAATGCAAGATGCAAGATTCAAGAGGTCATCG